GCTGAACCCACTCTGCTCATTCCATGCAGAGCACAAGTGCAAACTCCTTTGCTCTCTCGCATCACCATGGGGTTTACACTGCCTTGCTAAGAGGATTCCAGGAAGCCCCAAAGTGATGGCACACGAAGACAAAAAAAACTGGCAGAGTCAATTCCCATGATGCCAGGGTACTGGGTAGTTTCCAAGGGCAGAGCGTTCCAGAAAAATGCAAATAGGGCTTCCTAAAGAAATTCCAGGCCAATACAGACAGATGTTCTCTTAGAAAGTCACAGAGAATTGCAGTTTAGAAGCTTGGATGAAGAGGTTAGAGCGCAAGGGCGAGCAAAAAGTTGGCACCCTATTAGGGATTCTAACCAACCACTGAGTATTCGCTCCTCCCTCTCCATTTCATACATCCACTTAGAAGACCCCTGTGCAGCTCATGATAGCTGGCGATATTTGTGTCCATCGCCAACGTGATGGCCTTTCAGTAATGGGGGAAGGGGGTGCCTCAACAAACTTTAACCTTTTTTGAAGTTTACATGAGAATTAAAAATGCCTTCTTTCCAGTATTCAAATGTCTGCCACTTTAAAAAAGAAAAACAAAGCTGAGTATCATTCAAAAATAGAAGCCACCCCTCCCGCCACATCTCCCCAAGGATGTGCCACAAGACCGAAAGTAAAATCAAAATAAAGTTCCTATGAGGAGCAACTAAGGTATTCATATTTGACAACTATTTGGGAATTTCTGAACAAAATATCTCAGCCATGAGACATGGTCACATCAGTCCCACATAACTTTCAGCCTTAGAGCATACTTCGCTGTATTATGCCCTTTCCCAATTCTCTTTCCTCATGCTCCTTTCCCCAAATACATATATTGAGATTTTCACCCAACTGTAAGAAAGGCTTTAAGTAAGGTGATTTCAGTAATCCTCACCAGGATTCTGTCAAACGTGACAGTGCAGCAAGAAAGCAGCCATCATCCCTGCCGTGGAACCTCTGTGGCTAAATTACTCACCCGCAGGTTGCAAACCCTAATAATAGAATAGATATGAATTTTTAAATACGAGGAAATGCACTCTCAGTTCACAGACAAAATTAAAGAAACCTTATTCCAAAATAAAGAATATCTGTGATATCTCATAATAAAACAATTTAAAATTTTAACAAGTGTTAAGTTCTACTGTTGAAGCATTCTTTTAATCTGCATTGTGTTCCAAATAATTTCAAAGCAAAACACAAAAGTCAACTCAAAACAACTATTAAAAAAACAAAACACAGAGCCAGAGCTCACAATATTACTTCCCAAGCTCTAGAAAGCTTTCTATATAGGGGGGGGGAAAAAAACAGGTCACGGAAATGAAGTTTCACTATGTATAAATACTGTACATGGTTTAAAAGATCCTGGGATTTCCAAAAGTCTCAACTTCCACTTTGTGTGTAACCTTATGACAGTTCTAACCAACTGCAAAGCAGATTTAACATACCATTCCTACAAATACAAAATGCATACCCCACAAATACTACCAGTGTTGAAGGAACTAAAAGGTTTTGAACTTTTCAACAGCTTTCCAACCATTCTGTCCCACGCAAATGACTTTCAAATTCTCAGGCAGGCCCCAGGAAGTAAAGCACAAGAAACTATATTTACTTAAAGATTCAGTCTAATTCCCTGTAGTAAATCACAGGAAATAATTTAGTTCCAAAGCAGCCTCTCCTCAGTCCTCAAACAGTTAAGTTTTGGTAGATTTGCATTTTAGAACTGAATTTTTTTAAGCTAAAAGTCATAGTAAAATTTCTCCTTTTTATGAATGTTTAAAACAAGCAAGTTTTTCAGATCTGAGAGTGAAACTTAGTTTTAACAAGTAACTCATTTTTATGAAAACTCCAACCAGAAGACTAGCTGTGAGTTAGAAACACTTCAGGTTGTTTCTTTTCTTCTTAAAATACCCTTTTACTCAAAGTGAAAATGTGCTTGCTGTAATCTGACTTCCACCAACTGACTCTGATTGCACCTGAAATATTTCCTCACTTGAGAATGGCAGCCTGCTCTCTCCCAAAGCTCCACTAGGTTTCCACTGGGAGCTGCTACCTGGCCTCCAATTCTGGACAGACAATTCTCACTAACATTTAATAGATCTTCTAGCTCTGACCAGTAAATTTTTTTTAAAAACTTACAATTGCATTTGGGGAAAAAATTAGAACAAGTAAAGAACCTAATAAAAATGGCCGGGGGGGGGTGATTTGGCCTTAGAATCTGTTTTTATAAAAAGCACTAAAGCTTCAACGTTTAAGTTATAGTCCTACAATAGTTTAAGAATACCTTGACTTAAGGCCATTTGAGAGGCAAAACTAAAAATAATCCCCAAACTCTGCCTTTCCCTATCTTTAAAGAACGCCACTCCAGCAAGCTGAAGCAGGCTGTATCCATTCCCAAGGACATGAGAAAAGGTGTAAGTACATACTGTACCTTGAATGCCCAACAACAACAAAAAAAATGGCTTTTTTAACAGCAAATGCTTTGTAACAGCTCAAGTAGGACTGATAAACAAGTCAGTCAAATACTTAAATTCAAATGTTAAAGTAAAATTGGATTTGGCAGGCAACCCCGATTTTCTGACTTAAAAGAATAGATACCTAGCTTAAAGTAAGGAGGCACCTTACCTTTTTGAAGCACTTGGTAAAATTGCACATAATGCCTAGTAATGAGGTTATAAGTGATGCCTTTACTCTAAAATACGCTTTGGAAAAAATAAGATCCTGACTCCTTCTCCAGGAACTTTAATACGAAGTGATTAACTTAACCTTTTTTACACACATTAACCACACAGATAACAGTGTATGTAAAACCACCTTGGTGTAACAAGTGCTTAGCAAAGGAAAATCTGTATTATGCTGTACAGTCCGGATGAGGGGTAAGGAAGGAGGTTAGCTCAACTAGAGAACCTTCGCATCGATCCTTCCACCTGTGACAGTGAGAAACTGGCAGCTTCTGGCAGCCGCAGGGCGAACGCACGGCCGGTAAGCCTCCGCACCGCCAGCCCCGAGCCTGACCTCCCGAGGGTCCCAGGGCCTTCTCCACCTCGGGGTAGGGACGTGCCTGCCCACAGAGTCTCTCCTCGGGTCTGTCTGCCTGTCTCTCTCAGAAAGGCAAAAAGTGCGAGGCACCTCCTCTACAGGCCTCCATGCAGGCAGAAGTTCCCTACGGTTCCCTAGATTCGAACCTCCACTCCAACTCCCCCAAAACACTAGTGTCAAAGCCCCCCGCCTTGCCCCTCGGATCCGTAGCTCCGTGCTCGAAGGCACTGAGGTGGCAAAGCAAGAGATTATACACGCCCCCGGCCCTGGTCATCCGGGGGAGCCTCTCCTCGCCTAATTAAAGGCCTTGAACCTTGGGCGAGGCCAAGTTTGGGGGTACCTCCCGGCGCAGATAAGAGCTGGCCGCGCGGCGCCGAGGCCGGGCCCGGAGGCACGCAAGACCAGGGCGCGCTGGCCCTTTAAAGGCACTCGCTTCCTGCGCCCGCGGCCCCTCCCTCGCCGTCGCCAGCTCCCGCCCCCGCCGAGGGTCACACTTGAACTTTAGCTCGCCCCGCGCGGCCGGGCGCCGGCGCTCCGCAGGCGGTGGCCGCCCCTTCGCACGTGTCGGAGGCGCTACCTCGGGATGGGCGCTCCCGGCCCCCCGCACTCGAGGCCACTTCGAATAAAATCGAAACAAAACAAAATGCACACCGGCCTCCAAAATCTGCGTGGCCATCCCCGACGGGCCTCCCGGCTCGCGCCCTGCCTGTCCCCTCCACCTGCAGCCCGGTCCCCTGGCGGCGGGGCTCTGAGGCCCCTCGCCACGCTCTCCCCAGCCCAGAGCGGCGGAAACGGCTCCGCGGGGCGTCCCGGGGCTAGGAGGACGCGCGCCGCGGGGGCGGAGGGGAGCCGCCCTCACCCCCGAGGTCCTGGAAGAAAAGCAGCAGCTGCACGAGTCCGCGCGGGCCGTGGCGGAGCAGCTCCCAGTGAACCCCCCTTTCCTTCCACTGGCGAACTTTTCTGCCCGCTCGGAGGTCCACTTCTTGGCGTACTTTTTTCACTCCCTTAGGTCTCAACGAGCCCATTCCCCGTCCCGCTCCAACTCTCACTAGAGCGCGCGCAGAGACACTTATTCCGGTCCCCCGACGAGTCCGGGTCAAGCCCACAACCCACCCCTGCCGCTTCTCGCCCGCTCCCTTCACGCGCTGCCCGCGTGCTCTGCACTTTCAGGCCAAGCAAACTTGCCCAGCCGCCCCCTCATCTGCCCCACCGCGACCTCAGGAGGAGGCAGGCAGGCTGCCCGAGCCCCCCTCCCGCTCCGGCCGTTAGCCCCGAGGCCACTCACCTTCCAGCCAGCCGAGCTGTTGCTGTCGCCCTTATCCTTGAAGTAGGGAACGCTCTTGACCATCCACTCGTAGATCTGCGACAGCGTGAGCCGCTTCTCGGCCGAGCTCTCGATGGCCTTAGTGATGAGGTCGGCGTAGGACAGGTTGCCCCACGCGTTGCGGCGGGACGAGCTGCTCTTGCGCGGCTGCCCCGCTAGCGGCCCGGCGGCGGCGGCGGCGGCGGGGGGCACGGGCGGGTGCTGCGATAGCGGCCCGGGCGGCGGGGGCTGCGGCGGCGCCGGGTGCAGGCAGCCCGCCTCCGGGCCCTGGAAGTCCCCGCACAGCCCCCCGGTGGCGGCAGCTGCGGCCGCCGCCGCCGCCACCGCGGCCGCCGCCGCGGCTGCCGCCACGGAGCCGGGCGCCTGCTGGAAGTCCCCGCTCTCCTCCAGCAGGCTCAGGTTGCTCATGAAGTCGGCGCTGACAGCGGACGCCGAGGCCGAGGGCAGGCCCGCGGCGGCGTCGGGGTTCGCGGCCGCGCCGCCCGACGGCGCCGGGCTGGAGGTGGCCGAGTTGGACTGGCTAAACTCCGGCCTGGGTAGCGGCCAGGTGCACGAGCGCGGCCGGGGCAGCGGCTCGAAGTCCGGGTCGATCTCCACCACCTGGGGCGCTTCGGCCATGGTGACCCCGGCCCCTCCCCCAGCCGCGGGACTGCCAAGAAGTGAGAGAGTGCAGCACCGGGGGCCGAGGAGAGAGAGCGAGAAGAGCCGGTCCGAGATTTGCCGGGGCCGGGCGCGGGGGGCGGGGGGGGTTGATGTCGGTGCCACGAGCGGACGGAAACCGGGAGGAAGGCGCGGCGGCAGAGTGGAAGCGCGAGCCCAGAACTTAACTTCACAGGTCCATCAACATCTAGGCTCCTCCGGGTCCGCTGCACGGACGGGACGGCAGGCCAGAGTCACCGGGCCCCGGCAGCGCCGGCGTCGCGCTCCTGCTGACACGGCCCGTGAAACGAAGGACGGACGGACGCCGCGGACCGTTCACTCTCCCGGGCTGCGCGACCGTGGCGCTGCTGCCTGTTGAATGTGGCGGCGACGGCGGCAGCTGCAGCAACTACGCTGCCGCCCGACTTACTGGATCTGCCGCCGTCCCCCGCCCGCGGCGGCGCGCGCGCCGGCCCGCCCCTGACTGACAGCCCGAGAGACCAATGAGCGCGCGGCGGCTCCGCCCAGGCAGCCAGTGGACGCCGGCCTGGGCGGGGCCCGGTTTTCCACCGGGAGGCCGCAGTGGGTTGGTGGGGGGTAGTGGGGTGTTTTTCTCTCCCACACACACACGCACACACACTCTCGCTCTCTCACTCTTTTTTTTAAGCTCTCTGTTATTATTTTCTGGTAATTCTCGAGTGTTTCTGTGAGTCTCTCGCCCTCCCAGTGTTTTGATTGCTAGGAGGAAAACCAACGTGGAGGCGACGGCGACACTTTGTTTACTACTGAGGACCAGAGAGTACTCGGGAAGCCCGAGTGGAACGAGTCGCTCGCTTCGCCTCGACCTCCGCTCGGGGCCCAAAGCCGGGCCGGGCGGGGGCCGGGGACGCTCAGCGCTCCGGGGGCGCTGGGTGGGCGGGCGGGCGGAGGCGGCCTCGCTGCATTCTGCTCAATCGCCCCCTCTCGACTCTGCCCACGATTTCTTTGCGGAGAAACGTGGGGAAGTCGGTGGGTTTTGTTTTTGCTTTGTTTTGTTTTGTTTTCCCTGCGACGTGTCGAGCCCTCCGGCCCCGGCGCGAGCCGCACACGCCCCCCGGGGCAGGGGCTCTGACGGTCAAGTCCGCGCGGACGACGCAGTCGCTGCAGCTTCCGCGCCGGGAACCCACCTGTCCGCACCCGCGGGCTGAGCCTCTGCGGTTGGATGTAGACGGGGGCCAGTTGTCCAGCCCAGCAGCCACCAGCCGGGTTCACTACATTCTTGACTTAACTAGAAATGAGGGAAGGGGGCTCGGCGTGGGCCGAAGATGGTCCTACCTCACACGCACCCTCGGGCCCAAAGGCATCCTCATCCTCGTGCCCAATCTTCCCTTGGGCGGGAATCTCAGACCCTCCACTGAGTCAGTCGGGGGCGACGGGGAAGGGGTCAGAGGAGAGCATTTAGTGAGAGCCTTGTCACTTTATTACTTACCCTAATTAAGTTTAACTGTTTGCTTGCCATTTCTTTGCTATTTAGAATGGAAGTGCTGAGGTGTTGAGAAGTGAAAATGGAAGAAGGGAGAGGACCAAAGCCTTGGGGTGCAGCCCTGCCCCACTCCCAGATGTTCCTTTAGGCCGCTTGCCCCGTGCGTCCATCAACCCACCCCACCTTTCCCCATCTGGGCTCCAGGTCCAGGACGTCCTGCCGAGATCAGTGGGGCAAAAGGTAGGAAGACAATGGCCCTTGTGTCTCAGGGAGCAGAAGAAACAGTCGTCAAGTTTTGTTTTCTTTTGCATTTTTTTTTTTAGGAGGAATATGGAAGGCATTTCCTTTCAGAGGGATGGGATCACTTAAGATGGAAGATTGACCGTAGGGTTTTAAATATCTTGTCCAAAATGACAGCTCCCAATTCCAAAAAAAAAAAAAAATCCCTGTTTCTGACAGGTGGTTCTTCAGTTGAAAAAGTGGCATCTAAGGAAAATGAGGCCTCGTTTACAGAAGTTTGAAAAGACTGAAAGATTTATTCCTCCTTGACATTCTCACTCGTCCAAACTCCTATTTCTTCATAATCCGCCTATCACAACAGCTTCCCAGTGATAAGGGGGCTGGGTGGAGGTTGTGAGCCTGATAGATGGAAGCTAGGGTTGGTTCCCACCCTCGTTTTGCGGTCTCTGCGTTTACTATCAAATTTGGACTGTTCGGGCCTCGTCTGCCCGCCGCTAGGGGACCTCAGTAACCCAGACGAGCTGAAAGGAAGGCCGTAATGTAGAACTACTGCTTCCCTCAACCTTTGCCACTGCACTCTGCAGGGGCAGCCCCCATTCGAACGGCCGCACCCTTCGAATAGGCGGTGCCCTAGTGGGTCATTCTTGGCAAAGGAAGCCAGCTGGCAAATTTGGCCTTGCCTTCATTTCAATTCCGGTTTTTCAGGGCCTCAGTTGCAGGAAAGTATTTGGTTAAGAGGGTTTTCTTACAAACTTTCTCCCCAGATCCTTGAAATCTTCTGAGCTATCCTGCCTAATTGTTTCTGTAAGTGACATATTTGCTTTTGTTTGGTCTTTTTTAAAAATCTGACTTGAAGCAGGCCCAGAGTACCTACAAGCACCAATGTCCCTGACACGTGGTTCCAAAAAATTAAAAATATATATTTAAAGGTTCTTATAGCTGCCTAAAATACCTTGGTATGTATCAATCTACTCATACAAGCTGGTGGACATTTGGCTTGTTTCTACTCTTTAATGGTCACAAACCCTTCTTCTGTAGTGAATAACCTTATATAACTCATTTTGCATATGTGCAAGTACGTCTATAGGAGGAATTTCCAGAAAAGAGATCACTGGGTCAGCAGTTAAATGCATTTGTAATTTTGAGACACTGCCGAATTGCCTTCCCTAAGGGTTGTATCAAGCTGAACTTTCTTTTCAGCTAGACCTGGAGAATGATAAAGTTGAAAGTAAACCTGGAGATCATCCTGGTGGTCCCTTTAATTTATAGGTAAGGAAAACGAGGCACAGAGAAGCTAACCGATTTGCCCGAGTTCACACAAATAACAGTGGTGCTGTTAGAACTAGAGCTTCAATTTCTTGCTTTCCCATCCATAATCTTCTCAACACACAGATAGAAAATTATAAATACCCTGTAATCCCAATATGCGATAACCACGATAAAACTGTGGTGTATTTCTCTCCAGCCAATCCCACAGATTTTAGTAATTTTACTTAGATTAACTCCACTGAGCTGGAAGTTTTGATTTAAAAGATTTTTAAAAAGCAGACACACAAAAAAATGATAGTGATAGTAAGATAATAAAAAAGATTACAAAAGAAGTGGTTTGGGTTTTTTTCAGTCAAAAAATGTAAACGTTTTCTTTGAAGGATGGCAAAGGATTTAGGTTGGCACTAGTTCTGCTTAAGAGAAAAAGGTTTATTTCTTTTCTCCTTCAGTATTTTTTTTTGTGGTAGCTGTTTGCTTAGAAGGGTTTTTCTAATGATTCTCACTGATTAGTAAGTAAGTGTGAGTCATTATCATCGGTTCATGTGGCCAAATTGGGAAGAAAAATGTTTCATGTCAGGTAAGCACAATTAAAATGAAAAAGGAAGTTTATCCTCACAAAGCCCATCTCACAAACCAATGTGGTATTCTTTCCTCTGCCTCTTTTCAGGGTAATTATTACATCATCCTTGACAGGAAGACTGAGGGATGGTTCCCTTTGATCAATTCCAAGGTAGAAATTTCTATATTTACCCCTCACCACCAACACACTGATCTCTGGTTTAAATTCTTATCAAAAAATAGGTAATTTAAGTCCAAGTTAATGAGTAAAAAGCCTGGATGCTTATTCTTCAGTCACAGCACTTAACTTCATACTTCACCTTCCCTTCCCCAGAACTGCCCATTTCCAATATTTTGTCTAAATCATTAGAAGGTATTGCTATCAACTTAAAACAGGCTTTCTTCAATTTGCCCATAGAAGATAATGATATGAAACAACACAGCTTCAGCTTCTTAAACCAGTGTCCTGAAACCTGGCCTATTAAGTGGTAGTTATAGCAATATCAGAAGTAGCCATTTATTTTTCTCGAGGGGTAATTTCCTTCGGATTTTGTCATTCATTCAGCAAATACTTGTAGAGCACCTCCTATGTACAGGCCAGGTGCCAGGCATCACACGGTACACTGGTTTTTCTTTTTTTTTTTCAGAGTACATTGTTTTGATGGCAAATTCCTTGAGGTAATAAATAGTTTATTTTCCTTTATATGATATTTGATGTCAGAATTAAGACTATGTCACTCTTTAAATAATCAGGAATGCATACTGACAATATTTCTTTGAAGGAATTACACACAAAAAAGTATTTGATAGATACAAGGAATGCTAAGTCAGAAAAGAATTGACGTATTATCATAGTCACCATTTTGAAGAAAAATAATAAGATGAGGTAGAAAAGCTGAATAAATGAACATCCGTAGGTGTTGGGAGTATGAGCTCTGGCCACCAGGCTTTGGGATCGGGAGGATCTTGCTCCAAATGGACAAAAGACACGGGATATGTCAGATTATTTGTCTATTACAAATAAAGATGATGCTTACTAATCTGTAACTGGAGAGAAGCATTGGGCAAATCATAAACCAGAGATCCAACAGTTTCTATTGTGCTATGAAGATGTGTGTCAGCTTCGATAAACTCTATTCCTTTGCTTTAAGTGTTAGTGAGAGACTACCTGTGGGTCCCTACAACAATACTAAAAATGTATTTGGAGATAATCTAAATGACCAACAATAGAGAATGGTTAAATGCCTGTAAGGTAGAATCATATATAGTCATTTAGAATAAAGTGGACCAAGCATACATAATGGCATTGCGACAATGCTGGGGATACAATATTTAAAAGGTTGGAGGTACCACTGTCGGCTAAAAAATTTTGGCAGTGGTTATATCTGGGTGGTGGATTTATAGGTGATCGTTACAGGTCTCACACAAACCCCTCCTTTTACAGGTAAGAAAACAGACAATGAAAAGTTAAGTGATTTGCCCGAGGCCGCACAGTTAGTGAAGAACTGGGCCAGGATTCAGACCTCCTAGCATTCAGGCCAAAACTCTTTCTTGTATAGCATTGCTTTTCACTTTACCTTTCTAACTGGAGGTTTTCAGACTATTTAATGAAATTCAGCCTATTTTAAACACTAGGTCTTTAACTAACTTTGAGACAATAAAATTACTCTCCCAAACTCCAAACAGCCTGCACATTACAATTAAAATTTTTTCTAACATTAAGGACTGAGAGTTGCCATAAAAATTAATGGATGGCACATGAAATCCCAAATTCTTTGAATATCACAAATCTGAATTTTGCATTCATGCTTGAAACACAATGTGTTTTCACTATTTTATTTCTGTTTCATGTCATATTAAAGCTCTTAACATGCTTCCCAAAAAAGGGGGGACATATGTATTAAATAAGAAAAAGCTGCCATGTAGATCACAGATGGTAGTACATTTTTGGCAGAAAGGAAGTTTAACAAGGCGTTCTACTTATTTACTTGGAAAACTAACATGTATGAATGTTCAAGTTAAGTGGTAAGAATTAATTGCTGTTTTACTATAATCAGTTTTTTCCAATCAAATTGCCCTATTTCCATAACATTACAGTAGAGAAAGGGCATCAAATGTGATTGTAACCCCCTGGGAGTCCACGACAGTAATGAAAGAATGAAGGAAGAAGAAACAGCATTTTATAGTAACTAACCATGTTGCTTGTCATTTGTTGATAAAAATCAATAACAAGAGGTAATGACTGTATAGTCAGAGTACATGTGTTTTTAATATGACATGTATAGTCACTGACTGTGTCAGTTATGGTGTAAAAACAGGAGGTAAGAGTTTATCAAATTTCAGATTTGGCTGACTCAACACAGCCCACCCATATGCAAAGTCTGCTATGCCAGAAAGTAAACATAGATGAATAGTGAGTATTTCTCTGGAATACCAGGTTTTTATTTTGTGGTAAATAGAGCCTTTAAAACACATTGAAGTATTCTATATTCTAAGGTTTAAGATTTTAAAATGGAACTTCCAATTAGCTGATCACTGATACCATGCTGGAGGAAAAAACTGATTTGTCTCATATGATGCCGTTATATACTTTAAATAATTTTGTGTTTGAACAACAAACTGAAAACAGAACATTTGACAGCTACATTGCATGCCTGCACTCCAGAAGATTACAACCTGGAAAAACTCTTCCCACAATCCGAGACTAAGCTTGGAGAGATCTCACCCTCCTCTGTTTCAGATTTATATATCATCTGAAACAAGATGATATGTATATTGATAAATATAAATATATACCTCTCGTTTCAAAATGTTTTCATTTCTAAGCCATAAATCACTTTTTACTCTGAAGCAGAATACACACATTTTCTTTAGGCCCCGGTGTTAATAAAAACTACCATTTTTCAACAGTAGTTATGGACTAAGCACTATATAGCTATTACCTGAATCAGTCCTCAAAGCCAACCAATAATGTAGGAATTATCATGATTCATATTTTACAGAAATTGAAACTGAGGTACAGAGAGCTAAGAAACTTACTTAATGTTGTACTTTAGAAGCTTATCTAATTGTAATCAGACTTGACCCTACTGTTATCAAAATACAGAGCTCATCTCCTGGTTAACAGACCTTCTGCCTCCGTAAAATGTTGGGATTTTTCTAGAGCCCTAGAAATTAACCAGAGGTTAATTTGATGATTCAGTTTTTTTCCAGAAAATTGACGTTGGAACATTTTGGGAGGTGGAGGGATCTTTGTCAGCAATCAGCTCTGCCTGAAACCAGTTTAGTTTATGTTAATGAAGGAAGCCTAGAGATAGAATATAAATGACAATAATAATGCTGACGTTTGCATTTGTATAACACAAATGATGTCGGGGATTTCAAGCCATTAGCACTTGCTTATCTGAACAGACGGCCTCAGACCATCTACAGTAAGAGCAACCTGCCCTTCCGGAAAGGTTGGCTCATCTGGAACTCTTTCCGAAGCTCTCCTTATCTTCAATAAAGCACATCAAACCAAGTTCACCAGCTCTACTGAGCTCTGTCCCCACCAGAGAAAGTGGTTAGCTTCGGATCTGTATCTAAAAGCCATCCCTCCTATGAGTTTCAGAAGCTCAGATTTAGCTTAGAACTAGTGAACATATATTTTACAATTCAAATGAGAGACCTTACGTTATTCCAATACTACTTGAATCCAGCTCTGTTGCTGAACGTGCTGGGGATTGATCCAAGCCATAAGGTTTACTTTCATGAGACAGTGAGCAAAATTAAGAGCAAAACAAACAAAACCCTTGTGTTCCTCTCCACCTCAAAGTGACTTGGAAAGTGCCCTCTCCACCACCAGGTGAGCATAAAATATCAGGAATATTTGTAAAGCACCTTTAGAAACACTTACTTTGGGAAGGGGATGGGATCCTATCTTAATGCCCCCAGTTTTCATAAGAAGCATGAATAAAACACCCTTCAGCTAAGAGTTTAGGCTGTGTTCTTGTATCTTCAGCTTTCCATCACAGAGACATATTGGCAGCCCCTACGACCCACAGACTACAGTCAGAAGACCCACAGACTATTAGTCAGAAGAGCTTATCTGTGGCTACCTTCCTTTCAGTCAGTTTAAATTGCCAATGAATCACGAAAGGAAAATCACCCCTCCATGCTTTCCCATCCTCAGGAGATGTCCTAGTTTTAATTAGCCAGTGCATCCAGTTGTGAGAGTCAGCAGATAATCATAATTTTGTATGATAAGTAAAATCAGTATAATAATCCAAATATATTATCTCTTTTCTTCAATAGTTGTATATTTGATACTTGATTTGATGTTTTACTTTTTATTGTAGACACAGACCGACAAGGCCTGGGGAAGTAGGGTGGAGAAAGGAGCAGAATGCCTCCGCCTGGATAGGAAAGCAAATCACGTGTGTCCCTCGCTCATCTCCAGCCAAGGCTATAGTGTGAGTAGAAAGCTCTGGAAACACAGTGGCTCTCTTATAGATCACAGCAGCTGTTTTATCAAGTATGCTGTGATGTTGGCCCTACCTGCAAAATATGATAAAATGAAATCACCAATGGCTCTTCCAAGAAAAGCAGAAAATCAACAAAGCACTATCAACTGAAGTTCTTTTATTCCCTAGGTAGTGTTCAATTTATTCTGCATTTTGAAATTTTATCTTGATATTACTTGCCACCTACATACCTCAAAGAGGTATTGTAAGGATTAAAATAATGTCTTAAAGTGCTTTGAAACAGGGATGAAATGTTTGTTCTTTGACATCGGTACAACCTCGTGGGTAGGTCTTTGTTACTATACGAATGACTTCAGCTTAGGTAAACACATGATTTCTAAATCACTGATATTTATTCTAAATCCTGCTATGGCTCCTTCATGTTCACATGTTTTGCACATCGGTTGCCCAAATCCAACTGATTCTTTGTGGATTCAGAGATAGTATGTATAACATCCATGGTATATCATAGCAAGAATTTAGGAAAAGTCTCCAATCTCAGAGATTTTTGTTACTTATCCATGCCCTACAGCTGAGTTTTAAAAGGAAAATTTCATGGAAATGACTTGAGAATTCTGAACCATTGATGCACCTTCTTATATGGCCTGATATACCAAAACATTGCTATAAAGGCTTTAAAAATCCTCTTACATTATGCTTGATAGTCTCAGCAGGCAATTAAAAAGCGGTTAAAAATAAAGTTAGCTGACTCATTTTGGTAGTTTAGCTGATGATGATTTTGGCAGCTTCATTTAACAGATAATGTTATCATAGAAAGCAGCACAACTTTAACAATAGAGCAAATTTCTCTAAAACAATTGCAGAAGAGAATTGATACAGTGTATTCTTTGGTTTTCTGTGGCTCTTCTGGGGGGGCAAAATTCTTAAAAATCTAAACCCACTCAAACACCACAGCATGTTTTGTAAGAGTTAGATGTCTCCAAGAAACATAACAACTGGAGACAAGTGACTTCCTCATGAAAACAGAATAGTCCTACAACATTAGCGCTCTCAAAAAAAAAAAAAAGAAGAAGAAAGAAAACAAAAACATACAGAACAGAAACAAGAAAAAGTATTCTACTTAAACGGAATTGGAATATAATGGCTTCTGGGTCCCAAATTTTTTTTCTAGGTCTGATTTTTTTTTAAGACTATTGAAATACTTATTTAGAAACTAGCTTCTAAATGCTTGATTAACTACCTGTTAAGACAATTGATTAAGGTTAGCTTCAGTAATTTTAAAGCATTCCTTTAGATAAACTACCTTTCAAACTTGAACCATGAACTATTTTTATTTAGGAAGTCATGTGAAGCGTAATTCATGATGTTTTTTCCAATCTTCTCAGGTTTAATGCCTTATGTATGAGAGAGAATAAAGTGATTTTGATAGTTAAAAAAAAAAGAAATATTTAGGAATAAGGCAGTAGCTTAATTTTAACATTCACTTTTATAATTAAAAAGAATTCATGTCTGTTCATGTAGACAAATTATTTTAACAAGAAACACCACCTGTATTATCAGATTCTGCAGTTATTCCTAGATTAGTTATTCTTGGCAACGGTACTGTAAAACTGTGTCACTGTGTGTGCGCGCACACACACACACACACACAGGAACGTGCAAGCCTGAGGGCGTACACACCCACGTTCCTATGTGTACACACCAGGATTCTATTAAAAGATCGTAAATGCCACCTTATTTTCACAATCCAATTAAAACATACAACAAATTTAGTCACTGATAAACAAAAATTGATGAGAACCATAGAAACCTCTTAAATTAGGAATCAGGAAGACCTGAAATTAAGAAACAAAAGTTGCTAAAATTACACAGTCAAGGTAAGAATTTGTAATGTAAATGTTACCCCCAAACACTTAAAGGTGTGAAAGTTTTTTTATTAGGAAGGACCTTCATAGCTGCATTTGCTGATCAATTCTTAAACTGGTCATAATGGAAATATTATTTTTAAATGGGTCGTGATGTAGAAATTATTAAGGTGGTCATAATGGATAAAGTACTCTCTCTTGTTTCCCAGAGAGATTCAAAGGCCTTTCTTGAGTTGGACCCAGGTGAGGGGACATCTGTGTTCCTTAGTCCACACTCACTTCTATCTGCTGCCCTGCACCGCGTTCTTCTCTTAGGCAGCTGAGAACGACAGCAGGAGAGGAGAGCTAGGGGAAATTTTTAAATCGTGATATCCTATGCAATTTAAAATCCTAAGTGTGCTGTGATACTCATACATGGCACTCCCACTGGTATCTACCAGTCATCACACTGCTTCCAAGCTCACAACTTTTCCCTTTAAATAGTACCTGTTGCAATCTTAGATTGAAGTTAGTGCATCTAGATTTTGGGGGTTTGAAGAACCTGACTGTTATGGGCTACATTGCATCCACCCCTCCAAATTCATACTTTGAAGCCCCCAGAACTTCAGAATGTGAGTGCGTTTGGAGAAAAGGCCTTTAAAGAGGTGATTGAGTTAAAATGAGGCCATTAGGGTGGTCCCTAATCCCATCTGACTAGTGTCCTTATAAAAAGGGGAAATGTGAACACACAGAGAAACACTAGGGGTGTGTGAGCACACACAGAGGAGAGATGATGTGAGGACATAGCAAAGAAGGAGGCTGCCTGCCAGCCAAGGAGAGAGGCCTCAGGAGAAACCAATCCTGCTGACACCTTAATCTTGGACTTCTAGCCTCCAAAACTATGAGAAAATTAATTTCTGTTGTTTAAGCCAACCGGTCTGTGGTATTTTGTCATGGCAGCCCTAGAAAACTAATCCACTGGCTAAAGGATCAGTTACGTTTTTCCAAAGGTTAGGGTAGATTTTTAACATTCCACTGAGGGACTAAAGGGCCCTAACCCAAAAATGTAGTTAAGCAAATAAAGCACTAACTTGAGAGCAAAGTCTCAACAAAATCCATGCTGCTAATGTATGGTTTATGAACAAGAAGCATGGTCAGCATTAGAGGAAAACATGCATCTAGAACTTACGATGTTCCAAGCATTGTACCATATAAACTCATTGCATCTTCACAAACCCTGTGGGGGAGGCGCTCTTTGACAGAAGAGGGAATGGGGGCCCGTAGAGGTTGAGCAACTTGCACAAGGTCACCTAGCTAACAAGGATACCTACCCAACAGTCTGCTCCAGAGTCTTTGCTCTTAAACAGTAATCCATGTGGCTTCTTTAGTAAGTAGATCTAATACTTGTTACCCCTCCGTCACCAACCCAACAGAGGGCAGTGAAATGTGGTGAGAGGATCACTAGCCTGGAAGGTTGAAGGACCTAAATTCAGATTCAAACTCTTACTCCTTATTCCTCCAGGCAGTTTCCTTATCTGAATAATGGGAATGATAATACTTACTGCTGTGAGGCTCCACTGAGATATATGAAAGTGCCTGCAGGTGGGATTAGCCCCAGGCATTGCAGACTTGTTTACAAGGTCTGAGATTCCTTTTAAAGATAATTCAGAGGGGCTCTCTGCTGAGTGGCAACCCACCATCCACCATGGCTTTTCTGTTCCATCAAAGGCTTACTTCCACTTCCAGTTAGTCTTACATCTGTAGTGCAAAAGGGCTCAACCATCCCCACACACGCTTGCATTCCTCTCAGCTCACACTACTGTACAGGTCCACTACCCCTTGCCCTCAGTAAACCATCATGTGGACAAGTAAGAATGGCAGGGAAACGAAGGCCTCACTCTCCCTTCCCTACCCTGGAGGTCTTCTCTCCCACCTTCACTAGGCTTCTGGAGAGCACTTAGAAATACCACATTTAGGAAAAAGAGCCTTTGGATGAAAAGCATTTTTGTGTGCGGCTCGTTGAATGGGAAGGCCAGCCTGTTGAATAAGGCGAGGGTAGACCTCTGGTGGTCCCCTCAGGAGCCTACAGGTTGCATGAGGTCCCACCCTCCCACACCCAGCTACCCAAAGTGCATTCAAGCTCCCACCACCACCCCACAACCCCTCCAGGCCCATGTGGCTGAAGGCACCCTAATGCCAGACCAGCCTTTCCAGAGACAAGCCTCAGATGTCGCGATTGGATCCGGTCCACCCAGGTTGTAAATACTGGCCATCCAGATAACCTCTGTGGCTCCCTTGCAGGCCTTCCGCAGCCTGGGCCTTTTGGAATCACAACTGGTAATGTGAATTGTCAGTCGGTGATCACCCCCATCTGTCAGACTTGGTCTCATGCGCATCGTCCATGCCTCTGCCGTCCACCTGTTTGGGCTGATGACAACATTTCGTTATTTCCCTTCCTCGTCATAAGGTTAGCCCGGGCCTCTCGATGGGGAGGGAAACACTCTTCGGAGAACCTGCTTTTGAAATCGACACTCCCCACACACGCTTGCATTCCTCTCAGCTCACATTACTGCAGCTGCTCCCATGTCTGGATCTAAACCCTCATCTCATGCCCCGCGCAGCTGAATTACCTTGCCCAGGGAGCTTTTAACATCTTGGCAGGGACAGAACACAAGCCTACCCCACTGGAGACTAGCTGGGCTGGGCCCTGTATTTGATAGCCATCTCAACATATTCAGAGCCATAGGAATTTTTTCCCCCTCTGCTGCTGGTTTCTTTCCATACTACTAAACTTTGCAAAATAAATGACAAGATGCCGCAGGCTAGGCTAAATTCAGTGCACAATCTCTAGCTGTGCAGCATAGCCAAAGGGACATGCACGGGCTTGCTTTTCCCTCTCATGGAAATAAACAATCCAAGAAGCAGAGCACTCACTTTTTTTTTTAATTTAATTTATTTATTTATTTATTTATTTATTTATTTATTTTTGGCTGCGTTGGGTCTTCGCTGCTGCTCAAGGGCTTTCTCTAGTTGCAGCGAGTGGGGGCTACTCTCCGTTGCGGTGCACGGGCTTCTCTTTGTGGTGGCTTCTCTTGTTGTGGAGCACGGGCTCTAGGCACGCGGGCTTCAGTAGTTGCAGCACACAGGCTCAGTAGCTGTAGTTCAAGGGCTACTGAGCGCAGGCTCAGTAGTTGTGGCGCACGGGCTTAGTTGCTCTGTGGCAGGTGGGATCTTCCTGGACCAGGGATCGAACCCAGATTCTTAACCACTGCACCACCAGGAAGCCCCAGAGCACTCACTTTTTTTAGGACCAGATGTTCATTCACCTCATGACGTGGGTTGTCCCTGCCAGTAAAGAGCAGGGAGCCCAGTGGTCCAGACTGACCAGATCAGTGTGGCACCCGACACCCGAGAATGTCATCTAGCTGTTCCCCACGGTA